TCCAGCCTGAGTGACAAGCGAAACTCCATCACAAAATAAAATAAAATAAAATAAAAATTCTCCCCCTGGTTCCTGGTCGTTTGTTTTGAGTACTAGGTGAAGATTAGGTAAATACGTAAGTAACTAGGAGGTATGCTTACTTTTGGATAACACTTCCTTAGGGAATATGATTGGAAAGTGTTTTATTTTGACTGTCCCTTAGATTGTTACATTTCTGAAGAAACATTACGTTGTCTGTAGTGGTTGGAGTGCCATGGCTCATACCTGTAGTCCCAGCACTTGAGGCTGAGGGGAGAGGATCTCTTGAGGCTAGGAGTTTGAGATCAACCTGGGCAACATAGTGAGACCCTGCCTCTTCCCTTTCTCCCAAAAAAGAATAAAATACTTTTCTGTGTGGTGGACTGACTAGTGCAAATCTAACTCCTAGGTTGAAATCTTACGTAGTCAGTAGTATTTCTTCAGAAGTGTTGTTTTGGTGTAGCATTGTGCTCTTAGGGTTTGTAGATTGTCTGTGATTGAGAGATGGCTTCTCATTTGAGGAAGAGATAGGTCATAGAAGGAACTCTGTCACTGAACTTTGGACACAAGGCCCTTTGAACTTCAGTTCCTTGTTGTAAACTTGCGATACCTGCTCTAATTCACATGAAGTTTTGTGTGTATCAAAAAGCTGTAAGTAGTGTAATCTAATAAATTTTATGCAGTCATGTAAGAAAGTTATGCCTTTGGTCTTCAGAATCAATATAATTATTTGCCCTCTGCCCCCACTGCAGCCCACTGTGGTGGAAGTATTTGTCTTATAAAATCTGTTGGATTCAGTTTCACATGCTTAAATAAAAACATTTAAAAAAAATAAAAGGAAATATGGGATACCTACTATGACTGGTGTGTGAATCAGTTCGTTTTCTTTTGAGATGGAGTCTTGCTCTGTCACCCAGCCTGGAGTGCTGTGGTGCAGTCTTGGCTCACTGCAACCTCTGCCTCGCAGACTCAAGTGATTCTTCTGCCTCAGCCTCCCAACTAGCTGGGATTACAGGTGCCTGCCACTAAGCCTGGCTAATTTTTATATTTTGAGTAGAGATGAGGTTTCACCATGTTGGCCATGCTGATCTCAAACTCTTGGCCTCAAGTGATCCGCCCACTTCAACCTCCCAAAAGTGCTGGGATTATGTGTATGAGCCACCGAGCCACGCCTGCCCAGTTCCTTTTTTGAATAAGGAAATGAATGTGTTGTGGTTAAAGGTTAGATTGACATTTCAGTGCCCTTGGAGTTTGCCTAACCTTCAAGTTTGTGGCTCTTTTCCACAGTGACTTTGGTTTCGGTAAAATAGTGTTGGACACAAGACTGGCCACGATTTCTGTGCTCTGTGTTTCTGGGATAGGTACCCGAAAGCCCACGCTTCTAGAACTGGGGTGTGCTGAAAGCAGTGTTTGGCTGAGAGCCGTCAAGAGGCCGTGTGTGTGTGTGTGTGTGTGTGTGTGTGTGTGTGTGTGTGTGTGAGATTATCCACTGGACAGTAGTTTTTCCTGGGATTCCGTTAAAATGTGGTCATGCCTAACATTCTCCAGTAAGTATGCAGGTCTCCTAATTAGCCCAAGGTATGAGAAAGATTTTTTTTCAATCAGGTAACTATTTAAAAAGAACTCTTTTAAATACTTCACCGTGTACATGGAACTTTATATTTTGGGAGATAACTGAGGTTGGGTTTGAGTGGTAAGGCAATTGGACTTGGTTTTTTTTTTTTTTTTGAGACGGAATCTCGCTGTGTCGCCCAGGCTGGAGTGCAGTGGCCGGATCTCAGCTCACTACAAGCTCCGCCTCCCGGGTTCACGCCATTCTCCCGCCTCAGCCTCCAAGTAGCTGGGACTACAGGCGCCCTCCACCACACCCGGCTAGTTTTTTGTATTTTTAGTAGAGATGGGGTTTCATCTCCTGACCTCGTGATCCACCCGTCTCGGACTCCCAGAGTGCTGAGATTACAGGCTTGAGCCACCGCGCCCGGCCGGACTTGGTTTTCAGAATATAGTGTTAACAGTATAAAACTACATTATGCCCCGGTGGTGCAAAAACATACTTAAAACATTAAATGTTGTATCTGCTTTTCTCTTCTAGGACCTTCTAGTCTGTAAGGGTAGTGTTTGCAAAATGCTTGACTTTTAGTGTACTCATAGTCGGTTCTGATGTTGGGACTTGGTCATCTCAGAATTTTTGAGGTGAAATAGTTGTCAGTTGCATAATTTTTTTAAAGAGGTTCACAACTTGTTACATAACTGTCTTATATCTAAGCTAGGCTACTAGTGATTATTGAATTTTCCCAGTGTTGAAATCTGTGATGAAACCATTAGTCCCTTACAGATCTGACTGTTGGACTTCTTGTGTCTTCATTCAAAACAAACCAAAACTTGGCCAAGCTCTTCCCAGGATAGTTTTTTTGTTTTGTTTTGTTTTGTTTTGTTTTTAAACCACCTCACGTGGCCCCTTCCCTTTGGCCCTTGAGTTTTGTATCAGGTTTAGCTTCTCTTTTTTTGCTGTCTGGTTTGGCAGGTGTATGTTTACATGCCTACTTCATTTTTCTTTCTTCCTTTTTTTTTTTTTTTTTTGAGAGAGAGTCTTGTTCTTTCACCCAGGCTGGAGTGAAGTGGCACACTCTCGGCTCATTGCCACCTCCGCCTTCCGGGTTCAAGTGATTCTCCTGCCTCAGCATCCAGAGTAGCTGGGATTACAGGTGCCTGCCACCACGCCCGGCTACTTTTTGTATTTTTAGTAGAGATGGGGTTTTGCCATCTTAGCCAGGCTGGTCTCGAACTCCTGACTTCAGGTGATCCACCTGCCTTGGCCTCCCAAAGTGCTAGGATTACAGGCATGAGCCACCACGCCCGGTCATCTTTCTTTGCACTCTCCAAGCCTGCTTCAGACTTGTTTCTTGTATCCCTTTTACTATGCTTCAGACTTTTTTCCTCTGTTTCTCCAGGTCTGGGCTTACCTCGTAACATTTGGCTTTTGAAGAATAAAATTTCCTTGTTCTCTTCAGAAACAGAAACTTCTTCATTTATAAGCTTGATTAAAAGCAGTTCTTCTAGGTAGGATAGATTTAAAAACGTGATTGCTTCTAGGTTAACACATTTTACATTTATCCTTTATGTGGTCTGATAAGTTTTAGTTGCTCAATGACTTGATTTCTCTTAATGCCTCCAGCTCTTTCAGAATCATTTAAGTTTTAGGTACAGCATTACAAAGTCATCTTTAGGTTTGTCCACCCCTTTAGGGTTGGCTCATCTAAATCTTTTCTTAAAGAGATGGGAAAGTGGTGATCGTCTCTAATGCTATTAATATTCAAAATGGTGGAGTCCTTGCTTTGTTTATGAAGAAGTGAGAAATCAAGATTATTGATTCACATTATACCAGTAGTGAGACACTGGAGAAGTTACTTCACTTTTGAGCTGCTTTTTATGTTTGTAAAATTAGAATAATCCACCTTCTCAAAGTTGTGATGGAGAAGATATGATGCACTCTATAGCATATCAGGTTTCCAAATTGATGTCGAATTCTAGTCCTGGTCCTTTTTATTTTGAAGTCTTTTTTCTTTTTAACATCCCAGGTCCTACATTGATTATTTTTTTAAGAGAAAAGATCTGTGGACAATATCCTTGTTTTTCTTTCTTCAGCAATAAAGACTGTCATCTGCCAAAGAGTCAGCCTTATTATAAAGTTCTGGTTGTTCTGCTGCCCTCTTGACATTTTCTTTAATAGTGCAAATTCAGCTTGGGATCCTCTGTGATGTCTGGATGATTGTTTTTTTTTTCCTGGAACACAGCTTTACATTGTTTGACGATTGCGCATCCTTTCAGAGTCTACTGTAGACATAGCAGACAAGAAATTAAAGCCGCCGTGTGCAGTGGCTCACGCTTGTAATCCCAGCACTTTGGGAGGCTGAGGCGGGCGGTCAATGAGGTCAGGAGTTTGAGACCAGCCTGACCAACATGGTGAAGCCCGGTCTCTACTAAAAATACAAAAATTAGCCAGGTGTGGAGGCGTGCACCTGTAATCCCAGCTGAGGCAGGAGAACCCGGGAGGCGGAGGTTGCAGTGAGCCAAGATCGAGCCACTGCACTACAGCCTGGGCAACAGACTCCATCTCAGAAAATGAAATAAAATAAAATGAAATAAAGCCGGGAAAAGTAATAGAGAAATGTACACAGTGTTGTTGCTTTTACAGAAAGTTCAAGGATGAAGTAAAGATGTTGGTTAATGCTGTTAAAGACATACTGGTGATTTTCTGCTGGCACAGCAGCTCAAAAATAAATTGCAGTGTCTTAAATTTTCAAATACTTTTTTCAACTAGATGAAACCACTGAAAGGTAGGGGTCATTTTACCAAAACCCAGGTGGAGTATACACAAAGAATCAAGTCTGGGAGATGTATTGGGAATGGTTGAGTTACAGGAAGCTGTTGGGAACTGGAAGGAGAATGAGAATATACCTAGGGAAATAAAGCTTTTTGTTTCCACCATGCTATTTGGTTTAAGTGTTGAGCCGTCAATCAGAATTAATTTTTCCTTCTAAAACGTTTGTCGCTGTCTTCAGGTTGTTCCTGAATCTTGGTGCTGAATCTGTCAGTAGGAGTGCGTTTCCACAATGACGTGGTAAATGCAGATGAGCGTGGCCTGAGGCATGTGCAATACTTAGACATCTGTTGAATGATGTGATGCAAGTGATTTTAGGTAGTTCCATCACAGATAACTAATCTGTTTCTGTTAAAAAATCTTTTTTTAACAAGACAAGCTCCAGGACTGTGTTAAGTCAACACTGAATTTAGACATTAAGATTAAATTTTATATATAACATTTTCATTATGACTGTAATTATTTCAGTTTATATTACTGATACAGAGGCCACATCATGGTATTCACTTTGGTTAGCTTGTAAAATGGTTTTCTTTAGGAGGGAATACAGTTTGACTCTAATGATCATGATACATGTTCTCTTTTTCTTTATTTCTAACAGAAAGCGTGGATACCCATCAACGAAGTTTTGATATTGGAATTCAGATTGGCTATCAGCGACGCAATAAGGATGTGTTGGCTTGGGTTAAAAAACGCAGAAGAACTATTCGTAGAGAAGATTTGATCAGCTTCCTGTGTGGAAAAGTTCCTCCACCACGAAACTCTAGAGCTCCCCCAAGACTGACTGTAGTGTCCCCTAACCGAGCTACTTCAACGGAAACTAGCTCATCTGTAGAGACTGATTTGCAACCCTTCCGGGAAGCCATAGCTCTGCATGGTAAAGCCGTTTAAACATATTTCTTTGGAAAAATGGTTAAGAGGGTGCCTGTGGACCCATTTTTCACTTTTAGGTTTAGGTCCAGATATGCTGTTTTTTGTCTATTACAGTAAACAGCTTGCTCTAGAAATGTTTAATAGAATGTAAGCTAAACCTTATATGGGCGATTTCTGTCAGATAACCCATCCTAGAAAATGTTTTTAGAAAGTTAGTTTGAGCTTATTGGTGTTAAAATTACATATCTTTCTGCAGTGTTGATTAGAATTTATTGCTTTACACTTATGTGTTGTACATGTTTTTCTCCTCTTCTGAAGTCAAAGAGGAAGTCCTTGTGTCTTAAGAATTCTGTTATATTTCTAATGGTCCATGACAGGCAAGTAAGGTGGGAGGTTGTTGGGTTAGTTCTCATGGGACCTGGGACCTCCCTTGATACCTTTCTTACTTGGTCTGCTATAGATGGTGGGAGAGGATGGATGTAAGACTCGACCTTCTGCCTTTCGTCCCGTCCCTCAGGTTCCTTGCGCTTTAAGAGGCGGGCCCAGCAGAGTGCAGCCAGTGGACAGGTGGATCGCTATCTCCCCAGACCAGACCTGTCATAAGAAGGCACTCTTGGCTAGGGGATTTTGCTGGAGAAACCCAGGGAATGTAGTCAGTGATAAGTCTGTTGTTGCTTGTTGCTCTCTAATACAGACTTCCAAATAGAGCTGGGAGAGTTAACCTGGGTGACAGCATTTAATACTGCTTAAGGAAAGAAAGCAACAGAATAATAAGACTTGCTTGAAACCATGGTGAAAACATGGACCACACAGATGGCTAAGGAGGTAGAAGTAATTAGGTCATGAATTCTTTTTTTTTTTTTTTTGGAGATGGAGTTTCGCTCTTGTGGCCCAAGCTGGAGTGCAGTGGTGTGATATTGGCTCACCGCAACCTCCGCCTCCGGGTTCAAGCAGTTCTCCTGCCTCAGCCTCCTGAGTAGTTGGGATTACAGGCATGCACCACCACGCCTGGCTAATTTTTTAGAGACAGGGTTTCACCATGTTGGTCAGGCTGGTCTCGAACTCCCAACCTCAGGTGATCCACGCCACCTCGGCCTCCCAAAATGCTGGGATTACAGGCGTGAGCCACTGCGCCTGGCCATGAGTCTTGTTGACAGTTAACATTTTTGGGCCATAGTACAAGTCATCTAAAACAAAGTAACCTGGTAAGGTACTAAGAAATAGTGGGATTATAAAGAAACTTTATTGAAGTTGAATCATTGAAACTTTAATACCTGTAGAGATTTTGTTCTCTCTGGCAAACTGTAGTTCTTTCCTGAAACCCCAATGTTGTTTTTTCTGTGATAGTGTTTAGGAGAATTAAAAACAAAAACATGAATTGCAGGAAAGTTCAGGTTGTATGGATGCAGTACTTAAGACTGCACGCTGTTCCTGATAGAGTGGAGTAGTTAGGCTGTCAGAACTTTGGAAGCTCGGGCAAAAATGGGATTGATCTGTTGATACTGAATTAGAGAGTTTCACATCTTTTCCCCTAAAGTTTGGGAAAACAGTTAACTAGAGGTGTACATAGTTTGTTAGATTAATTTTAGTGCATGGTAATATTTGATGCAGTTGTCTCAAGTATTGTGATTTTCTTCCTTTATTAAGAGGGTTGTGGCTCATTCCATGCTTCTCTTAAGGTATCTTTTTTACTCTATTGTACTGTTACATTTTAGAAGAGAGTTTTAAGAAACATAAAAACCACACTTGTTATCTTAAGGTAGCAGTAGTGTACATAGTAGTAAAAAGGGCAAGCCGGCCCCCTCTGCCCTCAAAAAACTGTATCCTCCAACTCCCATGTATTTTCTTATATTGCAAGTGTTCCATCTGTGATTTATTGTTTTCCTGAACTTTGGGAGTTTTAAGTAATGATACAGTTGAAGGGACTGTTTATAATTTTCACATGTTTAAGTTGTGAGGATTTAAAACTTAAATACAAGGTTTTGTGTAGGAAAAAATGATCTTTACCTCCAGTAAATTTCTTATGTAGCCCTAATCCAGTACAGATTGGAGATTGAATGCATTCTTACTCTTAGGGTTCATACCTTTAATTCATGGGTTAAAACAGTGTTGTGGTGAAGTAATAGGGCCCCTTGAAAGACTCTACAGAAACATAAATTATACTGAGTTGTGCTCTACTGGTTTGTGAAAACATCAGTGTATTAAGGAGAATGGTAGTTTAATTTGAATATTTAAAGTAATTTGAATGGTTCTGGTACTAGGACCATTGTTAACTACTAATGCTGATTAGTGACTTTAACTGGGTGTCCTTATTATCTGATTTGTTTGAAGTGAACACTGTTATGGTGCTCTTTTAAGATGTACTTGGAAACACCATAGTTAGGGTAAATACAATGCCAGAATTCAGTCTTGAATATTATTTGCTTAGCCAAATTCATGAAGTAAAAGGCCAAATTGAAGTTTTTGGAGTTTTGCATTGAGGGTGGGTCTAAATTCATGTGTTTGGAGAGTAAAAGGACATGGGAAAAGAATTGGTATATTGAGGCAGGCTTGAGTGTATAATGAAAGCAAACTCAACGTTCCTCTTCATGTCCTATGTATTTAAGAGAGGACAGTTTTCCCTCAGTTTTTTTCCCCCTTCCTTACCCCTATCCCCATGAAATACAGCCCAACCAAACAAACATGTTCTTAATTTAAAGGAATATGGCAGACTTGATGCCTGCTGAATATTTTTTTTTTTTTGTTGAGACGGAGTCTCGCTCTGCCGCCCAGGCTGGAGTACAGTGGCCGGATCTCAGCTCACTGCAAGCTCCGCCTCCCGGGTTTACGCCATTCTCCTGCCTCAGCCTCCCGAATAGCTGGGACTACAGGCGTCCGCCACCTCGCCAGGCTAGTTTTTTGTATTTTTTTTAGTAGAGACGGGGTTTCACCGTGTTAGCCACGATGGTCTCGATCTCCTGACCTCGTGATCCGCCCGCCTCGGCCTCCCAGAGTGCTGGGATTACAGGCTTGAGCCACCGCGCCCGGCCAACCTGCTGAATATTTCATGTAGATAGAGTGTGACAATGAATGAGATCCAAGTCATTACCCTTGTAAGCCTCGGAACCCAGTTTAGTGGGAGAGACTAATATAAACAGCTTTAATCAAAAGTATATCAATTGGCCAGGTGCTGTGGCTCACACCTATAATGTCTGCACTTTGGGAGGCCAAGGTGGGTGGATCACTTGAGGTCAGGAGTTTGAGACCACCCTGGCCAACATGGTGAAACTTTCTCTCTGTTTAAAGAAAAAAAAGGTGTATCAATTTATGGTTATCAAACAGGTTTGTTTGATTGTGTGTTTGTTGTTTTGAGACTGAATCTTGCTCTGTAGCCCAGTCTGAAGTGCAGTAGCGTAATCTCGGCTCACTGCGACTTCCGCCTCCTGGGTTCAAGTGATTCTCATGCCTCAGTCTCCCGAGTAGCTGGGATTACAGGCGCCTGTCACCACGCCCAGCTAATTTTTGTATTTGTAGTAGAGACAGGGGTTTCACCATGTTGGCCAGGCTGGTCTCGAACTCCTGACCTCAGGTGATCTGCCTCAGCCTCACTGCTTGCCCCTAAGTGCTAGGATTGCAGGTGTGAGCCACTGCACCGGCCTCAAATAGTTTTTATCAAAGCTACTTCAATTAGTGGCTAGCAGGGCTTAAAGAGTAATGCAGTGCTTTATTTTGACACTTGTCTGCAACATACTGCTTTTTTTCCTGTGTCCTGTGGGACCTAGTCATTTGTATGTTAGACTCACAGAGGAATTAAAGAGATAAACATGCATGTGCTAAATAGATTTCTGTCTTGCTTTGTTATCCTGTCTTAAAATAACATTATAAATTTCCCAAGAGTTAAATTAATACTAATAACTGGTAACTCGTTTTTATGTAAACAGCATACTTGAGCCCAGAAATCTTCTGGACTGCTTTATGGATCTCTGCCTGCCCTTCTCATTGGTCCTCTGTTCATCCCTTCTCTTCTAGAGCTTCTCCTTACCTTGGCTTCTCTTCTGCCACATTGGCCTGCCTGACCTGTCCTCAGGCCCCATCACTGCCCTAGATTACGTTCCCCACCTCTTCACTTCCAAATCTGGGCCTCTCGTTTAGATCTTCTCTCCTGACTGCCAGACGGCATGTCCCACTGTCCTCTGGTGTATATCTCCAAAGTGTGCCACGGGCATTTGTCTCAGATGAAGTTTCAGGTTGGACTCATTCTTCTGCCCCAACAGCAGAATGACTCATTGAGCCATTCAGCACATTCTCTATATGGCAGATTCGGTGCTGTCTCTGGAAATACATCAATATACAGCGATTCTTTTTTCTGTTGAGGCAAACATAGATTTGGACAATTTCTATTCAGGTCATGAATGTGGTATGTGGAAGATATTCTGAGAGCAGAAAGGGATGTTTTACAGCACAGCCAGCTGTGTGGCGCTCATGGCAGGCCCTCTGGAGGAGTTGAGCCTGGGCTCTTGGGCTAATGTTTCAGCTCTCACTTCCTTCTGAGCTGTTGTTGCCAGTCCATCTTTCATGAGACCATTGGAATGATCTTTCTGGTCTTGTCACTTCATGGTTTAAAGTTTCCCCGGGGCCTACACAGTGAAGTCCAAATTCAGCATGGTGTATTACAAGACCCTTATGATCCAGTGTTAACCAGGGGGGTTAGGTATCCTGGCCATACTGTTTATCTCTTGAATACCTCTGCGCTGTTTGACGAGTCCAGCCCCTACGTGTTCATACCTCACTTCTGTGACACCCTTCCTTCAGGTCTCCCAATCTCTGTAGCCTCCCTGAACTAGGCATTTGCTCTGCTGCTTGATTTGTTTCTGTGACTGTCCCATTCCCCTCGGCACACATGATAGCATGGACCTTGTCTTGGTCCCTTTTTTTTTTTTTTTTTTTTTTTGGCTTTAACAGAATATAGCAAAGAACTTGACATAGATGTATTCTGAGTTTACCACTGGAGTTACCACAGAGGTC